TTTTTTTTTGAGACAGAGTCTCGCTCTGTTGCCCAGGCTGGAGGGCAGTGGTGCAATCTTGACTTGCTGCAACCTCTGCCTCCTGGGTTCAAGTGAGCCTCCTGCCTCAGCCTCCCGAGTAGCTGGGATTACAGGTGTGCACCACCAAACCCGGCTACTTTTGTATTTTTAGTAGAGATGAGGTTTCTCCATGTTGGTCAGGCTGGTCTCAAACTCCCAACCTCAGGTGATCTGCCCGCCTCAGCTTCTCGAAGTGCTGGGATTACAGGCGTGAGCCACTGCACCCAGCCTTTGCCAGTTGTTCTATACACAGCTCCAGGGGCCGCTAGTCCCATCCTAGGCTATAGGAATGGATTGCCCTGGAGCTCTGCATGCACAGCCTGTGCAGATGTATACAGCCTTGTTGATCTGTGTGAGGTGCAAACTGCTGCTAACAACTGAAACCGCCTGGACGAGCTGGTTCTCTGGGGTCCTCCCCGCATGGATGTTTTGCTGTTCAGAGGCAGGTGGTGTTTTCCTTTCACCACTAGGCAGCCTGGCCCTGGGATTCCCCCTCCTGCCACAAGCAGCTTCAGCCTGCACATCATCCTCCTACCGAGACTTCCTGGCCAGGCTGCCAGCTGCACTGCCCCCCGGGGATACCGTGTTTCACTGCAGCCTGGCCAGCGTGTGACTGTGGGGGCCAGGGGTGGGGTGGCCCCGGTGCTGAGAGCTGGCTCTCTGCCGTGCAGGTGATGATCTGGAACCTGGATACAAAGGAGTCTGTCATCACAAGCCCTGTGAGGACGATTAGCTGTCACCAAGATGTGATCCTCTCCATGTCCTTCAACACCAACGGCAGCCTGCTGGCCACCACCTGCAAAGACCGCAAGATTCGGGTTATCGACCCCCGAGCAGGGATCGTCCTCCGGGTCAGTGCTGGGCCAGAGGCTGGCTCGGGCTCAGAGCAGCAAGGGGTAGGGGTATGGGGGGAGGCTTCAGAGAACAGGACAGTGATGCTGTCAGCATCAGGGCCACGCCTTCACAGGCAGCATCCCCGTCTGTCCTCTCGGGATTGCTGGGGGTGGGATATGTCATTTCCATTTTGCAGATGAGAAAACTGAGGCCCATGAGAGATGAAATGACTCACCAACATGGAGAGCTGGGATCTGAACCTGGTCTGACTCCAAAGCTTTTTGGAGTGCCTCAGCTCTGTCACTGGCCAGGGGGCTCAGGAGAGCCGACGACACCACTGTTTAGTCCCTGTGCAAACTTAGGCAAGCATTCCTGCTCTGAGCCTCTGTTTTCGCATCTGCAACAATGGGTTGTGGGTCCTTCCTTTCCAAGGATTAGATAAGATGGGCCAGGTGACAGTGCCCACTGCGGTAGGGGTGCCCAACACTCTTTCAGCAAGAACAGGGAGCTGGGCAGAGGTTTGCTTCTGTTCTTGCTCAGAAAAATAACTCTTAACAAAGATAGTGGGGAGAGGCTCCATGTGGATGAGAGGGATCGAGGTGTTGCTCCTGGGAAGAATCTCCAGGCAGAGCTGGGGTGAGAAAGGGTGGCCTTCCAGGGGGAGCAGCAGCATTAGCAAAGCAGGGAGGCCGGAAACCCAAGCTGCCCCCCGGAATCCCCTCCAGTGTCTCTCCAACACCCACTGCACATGTCCCCCCAGGAGGCCAGCTACAAAGGGCACCGGGCCAGCAAGGTGCTGTTTCTGGGGAACCTGAAAAAGCTGATGTCCACGGGCACATCGAGATGGAACAACCGGCAGGTGGCCCTCTGGGACCAGGTGAGGCCTGCACCCCTCACCATCACCCCTCAGTGGAGAGCCAGCGTCATTCATTCACGCATGCATTCATTCAGACATCCATTTATGTCTCACACATGTAGCATAGATTGCCAGGTGCTGGGGATCTGGGGAAGAATAGCAGGGAGATGCCGACAGCCCTGGGCGCCCGGACCCAGTGCATCTTACACAGGAGGAAGATACGTGAGAACCCAGTGGAGGCCCTGGGCTAGAGGAGGGGAGGTAGCTGAGTCTGGGACCAGGACTAGGAGAAAGGGAGAAGGAGAGGGCCAGCTGGGCAGAGGGGGCAGCTGGAGCAAATGAAGTACCAATGGGTATGGGGAGGAGGGGCTTTCATCAGGACAGCTGAGGGTAGAGTAGGGCTGAGGGCCAGGCCTGCGGTAGTGTTTTGAGGGAGCATTTGACAGGAGTTTCAAAGACTGGGCAAATCACACTTTCTGAGTCTCCTTCTTCATCTATTAAAATAAAATTTAAAAACAGGTAGGGGAAGAGTAGAATGAGATTGGGTATGTCAAAAGTGATTTGTTATGGCCAGGCATGGTGGTACATGCATGTAATCCCAGTACTTTGGGAGGCCAAGGCGAGAGGATTACTTGAGGCCAGGAGTTCTAGATGAGTCTGAGCTACACAGCAAGACCCCCATCTCTGCAAAAAATCAGCTGGGTGCAGTGGTGTGTGTCTATAATCCCAGCTACTTGGGAGGCCGAGGCAAGAGGATTGCTTGAGCTCAAGAGTTTGAGGCTGCCGTGAGCTATGATTACACCACTGTACTCCAGCCTCGGTGACAGAGATAGACCTTGTCTCCAAAAAAAAAGTGATTTGTTAAGGGCAGAAAGCTGACAAGGTAGGTGGTAGCAGCATTTTAGTGCCTTTAACATGTCATCTCCACCAGAGAGTAGCCCACACATTGGACCCCAGGAACCAAAGACATCTTCCCCCAGCACTCACATAAAAATCACACTTTTTCTGACACACACACTCTTGCCCAGAGCACCATGGCAGGAATCATCTCCAGGAGCACCACTGAGGGCCCCCAGGAGTGACCCAGGCCTTCCCTGCCTCCCCTTCCCCTGCAGGATGACCTCTCTGTGCCTCTGATGGAGGAGGACCTGGACGGCTCCTCGGGCGTGCTGTTTCCCTTCTATGATGCAGACACCAGCATGCTCTACCTGGTGGGGAAGGTCAGCTTGGCACCGGAGGGAGGTGGCCGCCTAGACCCCTGAGATGGGCAGACAGCAGCCTGGGGCCATTGGGAGCACAGGGCAGGGATAGGCAGGCCTCGCTGGCCACTCTTCTGCCATGAGAGAGAACGCCTCCCACATTCCTGGTTCCTTAGGAACACCTGGGGCCAGGACTCTGGCTGGAAACCTTGACCTTGTCCCTTCCCAACTCCAGGCCCACATGCGGGGGGACCCTTGGTGTTTCTCAGCAGGGGCACCTGCTGACCTGGGGGCAGAACAGGTCTCCACTAGGTAGGCCTATCCCATGTCTGGCAGCCCTGGCCCCTACCCACCAATGCCAAGACCAGCATCTCTCCCCCTCCACCCAAGTCATTATGACAACCAGAGACATCCGCCATGGTAAGACCTTCTGGATGGCCTCTGAGGCCACCCCAGCTCTGACCTTTGCTGCCGCTCTCAGATTGGAGTGGGATTGGGACCTGTCTTCCCAGAGCTTCTGTCTTAGAGTGAGGGTAGGCTTTGGGTCATGGTGGGGGAGATTGAATATTAAAATAAGGACCCAGGCCCAGCACAGCCGCTCATCCCTATAATTCCAGCACTTTAAGGGGCCAAGGTGGGAGAATCACTTGAGCCCAGGAGTTTAAGATCAGTCTGGGCAACATAGTGAGACCCCATCTCTACGAAAATAAAAAAAATAAAAAAAATTAGCCAGGTGTGGTGGCGCACACCTGTGGTCCCAGCTACTCTGGAGGCTGAGGCGGGAAGATGGGTTGAGCCCAGGAGGTTGCAATGAGCTGTGATTGCACTACTGTTCTCCAGCGTGGGCGATAAAGTAAGACGCTGTCTCAAAAAAGATAAAGGGTAAAATGAGGATCCCCCTGTCACCCTCCTGCCTTGGTGACAGGGCCCCCAGTTTCCTGGTGTTCCTTTGAGTGAGATGGGTTTACCAATCATCAAAAAACAGCCAGGTTTTTGCTGGATGGCTGGGTTGCTGATGAGCTGATGAGCTCATCTCATCTTCCTCCTCCTCCTCCTTTTCCTCTTCCTCAGGGAGATGGTAACATCCGCTACTACGAGGTGAGCACCAACAAGCCTCACCTGAGCTACCTGACTGAGTACCGCTCCTACAACCCACAGAAGGGGATCGGTGAGTGAGGGACGCTGAAGTTCACACCTGTAATCCCAGCACTTCAGGAGGCTGAGGCAGGAGAATCTGGGTCAGGGCTTCAGTGCTGGGTCTGGGGAGACAGGGATGAGTCAGATGGGAGGGGAGACAGCACAGCAACACTCTGACTTGATGGGGGCTGTCCTTGAGGTGTGCAGCAGCACAAAGGAGGAAGTCAGGGAAGGCTTCTCAGAGAAGGCAACATTTGGAGGCACTGAAAGAGGAAGCAGAGCCCAGCAGGGGAGAGAGGGATGTGTTCTAGGTCAAGGTTAAGCAGTTACAAGCACAGAGAGATGGAAAGGGCTGACCTAAAAGAGGCTCCAGGAAGCAGTCCTCAGCTCCTTTCTAAGCATGTTTGAGGATTAAAAACCCAGCTATATTTCTGTAATCTACAAGAAACCTACTTTAAACATAAAGACATGGCTAGATTAAAAGTAAAGGACTAGAGAAAGATGCACCATGCTAACACTACTCAAAAGGAAGCTGGAGTAGTTTGATTAAGAGCATTTGGGTCACAGGAGCTGTGGGGATGAAGATGGGGAGCCTTAAGCAGAGCAAGCTGCCTGTAAAAGTCCAGCTAATCCAGCACTTTGCGGGGCCAAGGCTGGAGGATCACTTGAGCCTAGGAATTTGAGGCCAGCCTGGGCAACAAAGTGAGACCCCTGTCTCTACAAAGAAATAAAAAATGGAGGTGCACACCTGTGGTCCCAGCTACTTGGGAGGCTAAGGCAGGAGGATCGCTTGTACCCAGGATTGGGAGGCTACAGTGAGCTATGATCACGCCACTGCACTCCAGCGTGGGCAACAGAGTGAGACTCTGTCTCAAAAAAAAAAAAAAAGTTCAGCTAACATAATTTAAATCTTTGAAGGTGAAGAGTCTGATTAATTCAACTCCATTTCCCAACACAGGGCCCAACCCAGTGTAGGTATTTGTCCCTCAGCTGTGATTTGGGAGGAGGTTGGCCTCTGTTCAGGTCCAGGTGTGCAGCATGGCTTTGGCCCTTGCCCTGTGGCCCCAGCCTTGCCAGAACCTCTTGGCCCTTCCTGACTCTGCCTGCAGGTGTCATGCCAAAGAGAGGACTCGACGTGTCCTCCTGCGAGATCTTCCGCTTCTATAAGCTGATCACAACCAAAAGCCTCATCGAGCCCATCTCCATGATTGTGCCTCGGCGGGTAAGGGCAGTGGGGACCGCATGGGAGGGAGGTGGGAAACCTGTCCTGGAGAAGACAGACCCAGGGCTGTCGGGAACCAGAGCCTGGAGCCCACGTTCATGGGGCAGCCACAGAGCAGCCTTTCTCACAGCCAGTGTTACATCAGTGGGCGTCAGGAGTCCTGGGTCTCAGCCCACCTCTGCTTTTGAGCTGCTGTGTGACCTTGGGCAAGTCCCTTTGTTCTCTGGGCCTCAGTTTCCTCAATTCAGCAGGGATTGGGGAGAGCCTGAACTCGAAGCTCTAAGGGCCCTTCCCATCTGGGCAGCCTACCCTACTACCCTCCTTACTGTCTGGATTTCTCCTGCAGTCGGAATCCTACCAAGAAGACATATACCCACCAACAGCAGGGGCCCAGCCCTCCCTGATGGCCCGGGAATGGCTCAGCGGGATGAATCGAGGTGAGGAAGGCAGAGAAGAGACCCAGGCAAATGTGGCAGGAACGTGGAGTGCTTGGTAGCCTCAAGCAACTGAGAGGGGTTGGGCCTGGATTTTTATTCTCGTGTAACCTCAGAGGCCATGCTCTTGACCTTCAGTTGCCAGGGGCTAGGATGGTCACATACAGGTCCAGGAAGTCAGGTGTCTTGACCCAAGAGCTCAGGAAACTCCAACTCAAGGGACTTTGCCCCATGAAAAGCTTCTTTACATTTTGGGGCTATGGAAGGTGCCTAGACCACCTCAGCCAGACTCCCCATACCTGTTCCCCACCCCTACCTCTGCAATTCTTTTTTTTTTTTTTTTTTGAGACAGAGTCTCACTCTATTGCCCAGGCTGGAGTGCAGTGGTACAATCTTGGCTCCCTGTAACCTCTGCCCTCCGGGTTCAAGTGATTCTCGTGCCTCAGCCTCCTGAGTACTTGGGACTACAGGCACGTGCCACCATGCCCAGATAATTTTTTGTATTTTCACTAGAGATGGGAATTTCACCATGTTGGCCAGGCTGGTCTCAAACTCTTGATCTCAAGTGATCCACCTGCCTCGGCCTCCCAAAGTGCTGAGATTATAGGCATGAGCCACTGTGCCTGGCTTTTTGCGATTCTTCTTGACCCAATAAGCCCTCCAGGCAGCAACCCCCATCCAGGTCCCTCTGCCCACTCTACCTGTTCTGAGCCACTCTCCCGCTCGTGCCAATATGAGGCCAGCCCCCCAGACTTCCTTCACCCCTACCCCAGTGGCTGAGCAGGCCTCCTGGCATACTGGAAGAGTCTCTACCTGGGGGCAGGAGACCAGTGCCAAGTCCCAGTTTTGAATAACCTTAGGTAGGTTTTGCTCCCTGGGCCTCAGTTTCCTCATCTGTAGCCATGATGCCAGCCCCCCCCCCCCCCCCCGCTTCTTGGGGATGGTGAGAGAACTCATGAACTTGGTAGACAGCAGGGTGCAGTGTAGGTGGGACTGTCCTTACAAAGCAAGGGCAAGGTCTCACGTGAGCTTGAAGTGTTGGGGGACAGCTCCAGAGCACACACTGTGCCGTTCCCACAAACCAAGCTTCACTTGGAGGGTGGCACACGTGGGTCTCTGTAGCTGATTGCCCTGCTCTGTGTGTGCCCTGTCCACATGTGGCTGTATTTCCTACACCTGTTGCATGGGTCTGCATGGTTCTGAGTGTCTCTGCATGCCTGCCTGTGTCATCAGTGCCCAATATGCCCATGTGCCTCTGGGCACTCAATCCTCACATAGCTCTGCTTCCCTTCCAGAGCCAATCCTGGTGTCCCTTAGGCCTGGCTCTGAGCTGCTGAGCCCCCGGCCACTGCCTGAAGAGAGACCTGTCTTCAACTCTGTGGCCCCAGCCTCACCCCAGCTCTTGAACCAGGCAGAAAAGCTCGCTGCAGAAGACGGCTGGAGGCCTTCCTCCCTGCCGGAGAAGACCCCAAGGTGGGCAGGAGAACACAGGCTGGAGGAGAAGAGATCCTGGCTGACAAATGGCTTTGATGTTTTCGAATGCCCCCCACCAAAGACAGAGAACGAGGTGTGAAGGAGGATGGGGTCGTCCTTTCACAGGGGGCAACTGGGGTGGAGGGTGGCAGATCCAGCCTGAGAAGGAGGGAGAAAATGAGGCATGAGAAGAATAATCAGCTGTGTGGCCTGACCTAGTCGCTTGACTCATTTTGTTAATTCATTCAACAAACAGGCAGTGAGCACCGTCTTATGCCAAAATGATGGGCATACATAAAGTTGGTGGGAGGCCAGCACAGTGGCTCACACCTGTAATCCCAGCACTTTGGGAGGCTGAGGCAGGTAGATCTCTTGAGGTCAGGAGTTCGAGACCAGCCTGGCCAACACGGTGAAACCCCGTCTCTACTAAACATACAAAAATTAGCCAGGCGTGGTGGCGCTTACCTCTAATACTAGCTACTGGGGATGCTGAGGCATGAGACTCGCTTGAACCCAAGAAGCGGAGGTTGTAGTGAGCCGAGGTCATGCCACTGCACTCCAGCCTGGGCAACAGAGCAAGACTCCATCTCCAAAAAAAAAAAAATTGATAGTGGGGACCAGGCGCAGTGGCTCACGCCTATAATCTGAGTACTTTGGGAGGCCGAGGTAGACGGCTCTCATGAGGCCAGAAGTTTGAGACCAGCCTGGCCAACATGGTGAAACCCCATCTGTACTAAAAATACAACAATTAGCCAGGTGTGTTGGCCCATGCCTGTAGTCCCAGCTACTCGGGGGGCTGAGGCAGGAGAATCACTTGAACCCAGGAGGCAGAGGCTGCAGTGAGCCAAGATCACACCACTGTACTCCAGCCTAGGCAACAGAATGAGACTCCATCTCAAAAAAGTCAAAAAAGATTGTAGGGAGCCATCTATAAAATGAAAAGGGTTTGACCTGCTGGGTTGTATCAAAGTCTTTCCAGTTCTGACATCATAGGATTTTCTGTGCTTTCAAAGTCCACATTTGTTAGGTGCCAGATCCTGGAGTAGGCAGTTTGCTAGAGCATGTGATTGAATCCTCTCAACAGCCCCAGAAGTCAGTCTGTAGTGGCTAAGAACACAGAGGCTGGCATCTCACAGATAGATTCTGATCCTAGCTCTGCTGAGTACTAATTTAGGTCTCAGATCCCAGAACTGAGTATCTCTAAGCTTCTGTTTCCACAGTGGTACAGTGGGGACACTGGCACTGATAGCGGTGTCACAAGCATCCAATGGGATAACAAACTCCCTTAGGGCATCACTCAGCATCTAACGCCCATTCTGCACCATGGCAACAATTATGATAATGATGAGGGCAGTTTTCTGGCCCCCATTTCCCAGAGGAAGGAATGGAAGCTCAGAGTGGGTAATTAACTTGCCCAAGGTCACATAGTTCAGTGGTGGTGAAAACACCAGTCTCCAGACTCCAGAGCCAGGCATCCTTTCCTCTATCCCATGGGGGATCTATGGAGGCAAAATACATCAAAACATTCCAGTCTTTTTGAATTTCATTTATTCGGTGAAGTAAACAAGGTGTTTGTAAAAGATCTATGCATTGAGCCCCATCAGGCCTCAGCCATGTTAATGTGACCATCTCCACCTTTCCAAGTCAAGGAGGATAGTGGTTTAGCTTTCAGCTGATGTCTTGACACCCTGGTGATCCTGCCTTCCATCTTTCTTTCCCAGTTGTTGCAGATGTACTACCGGCAACAGGAAGAGATCCGAAGGCTCCGGGAGCTGTTGACCCAGCGAGAGGTCCAAGCCAAACAGTTGGAACTGGAGATCAAAAACTTGAGGATGGCCTCAGAGCAACTCTGAGCAGAGACCTCTGCCCTCCGTACCCTCAGGGACACCACTCGGCTCCGTGGGGAGGTTCAGAACCAAACCACAAGTCCCCCTAAGAACAACCACTATTTCTATATTTTTTACCAGAAAACAAAATTCTCAGTCGCTGAAAGAGATTCCAGTGGGACATGGTGCCGTTTTTCTATTTGCCTTCTTGCAACAACAGTTTCTGAATTGACTTTGTTTTTAGATGATGCCTTCTATTGAATTCTATTGTTAAGGGTCCATGATGAGCTATAACTTCTCAAGGGGAAAGAACACAGTAGAAAAATAGAGCTGGAAGGACCTAGGTTGATCTGCCTGTGATTTTCAGACTGTGGTCCAGAGACTAGGGGAAGACCGGGCCAGATGCAGTGGCTCATGCCCATAATCCCAGCACTTTGGGAAGCCAAAGTGTGCAGATTGCTTGAGGTCAGGAGTTTAAGACCAGCCTGGCCAACATGGTGAAACCCGTCTCTACTAAAAATACAGAAATTAGGCATGGGGGAGAGCACCTGTAGTCCCAGCTACTCGGGAGGCTGAGGCAGGAGAATCACTTGAACCCAGAAGGCGGAGGTGCAGTGAGCCGAGATCATGCCACTGAACTCCAGCCTGGGTAACACTTTTTTTTTTTTCTGTCTCAGAGAGAGAGAGAGAGAGAGAGAGAGAGAGAGAGGGAGAGAGGATAGGGGGAGACTAAGCAGGAAGTCTGTGTCTCCCTTCCCCACACTGTGTTCCAACCAGACAGCTCCTTTCTATTTTCTATGTTGGGCTACAATGAAAAACAATTCTGCTAGTAAAAAAAAAAAAAAAAAAATTTAGACGTTTGAAAACTGTGATTTGACCAAGTTCCTCATTTTACAGGTAGACAAACTAAGGCCCAGAGAGAGGCAAGGGATAATTGTTTCTTGGTGGGTCTGGGCTGAGATCCTGGTTTTCTGGGTCTGTCTTTTTGCTATTTCAGGTCTATGCAGTCCTCAGCCCACAGAGCAGAAATCTGTTGCTTCTGGCCTCAACTGTGCCCCAGCTTACTCAGTGACTTCTTGCAAGTCCTCCCCTCTCTGGTCTCAGTTTCTTCATCTGAACAAGGGATACCCTGGAACAAGCTGCTCTCTGGAGGATCTGCCATCTGTAACCTTGACCTAAGGGAAAACTACCTGTGGGGTGATCTGAGTTTGCTGCAGAAACTAGCAGACACTGGCAAGGGGCCAGACCAGGGGGTTTAAACCTGATTCCACAACACAGACAGGTCAGAACCAACCTTTCCAACCAGAATCAGCCTGATGTGGGTAGACGCTGTCCCTTATGTGGGGGATGGAGACTTCAGAGCTGTGCCCATGACTGCTGACTGCCACCACCAAGGCCCTCAGGTACACAGCCTGCCTCCTGCAGGATGATGTCGGCAGATTTCACCCCTAGTTAACAGGAGAGTCCCCCAGGAGGTAGGGGGCCTCCATCTCTGGGGACATGCCAGCATAGCCTCTGGCCACCTAACCAGGAAGTCTTCTGGAGAGAAATGACTACTCTAGATAAGGAAGTAGGAGCAGATGGTCGCACAGTTCCCTTCTCACCTGAAAGCTTTTCTTTGTCCCTCCTTAGTATGTTCCAAGCCCTGCTCTAAAGTTCAGTGGTCAATACAACAGTGCATCAAGAGATAGGGAATGATTAGAAGTGAAATTGGTCCCTCCCTACCAAGGAGGGGCAGATGATCTCCATTGCACAGGGCGATTAGATTCTGGAGCTGAGATGGGGACGGCAGGAGGCCGCCTAGCCTGGTAGGTTTCAGCCCAGGCTGTACATTAGAATGCAGGTAATACGGACTCCTGGGCTCCATCCCAGACCAACTGAAGCTTAATCTCCAGAGTAGGGCCTGTATATTCATATGAGCTTTGCAGGTGATCTGCAGTACAGTGAGTATGGCCGGCTATGTGTGTACCTATTTGCAGTAAAGATGAAGAGGACAAGGCCGGGCGCGGTGGCTCAAGCCTGTAATCCCAGCACTTTGGGAGGCCGAGGTGGGTGGATCACGAGGTCAAGAGATCAAGACCATCCTGGTCAACATGGTGAA